CCTAATGGGAAAAACAGACTACAAACAAACTCTTCCAAATAAAATCCTTCATCAACAAATGGCCAGAAATGAAAACCAATTTCAACAGACACGATGACGTAATGATTTCCAGAGTACGTGTAAGTCACACTAAGCTAACCCACTCTTACCTATTAAACAAAGACCGGCGCTATCATGCGACACATGCCAATGTTTTCTTTCAGTCAACTACATATTTCTCGAGAGTCCGCATTTTTATTCAGCCAGATCATCGTCAAATCTCATCACAACATTATCCAAAGAAGCTTTCGGCCACAAACAAGAAACCAAGATCATCCACTTCATAAAAACAGCAGGACTCTCTTCATTAATATAACACTTATATACCACCATATAAATTACAATCACAACGAATTGTAACTCCTTTTTTGTAATTCACTGTACTCTTTCTTTTTTTTTTGTTTCCACTTTCATAAACACCATTGGCTAATGAACCTTATATTTGCGTCTATAAAAATAAATAAATAGATGTATATGAACATTTATAAACAATGAATAATAAAAAAGTATAACAAATAAGTAAAAAAAAAAAATGTTCTTACCTTATTTGAATACCTAGCACGACGCTTAATATTTTCTTATTGGTGGTCGATGATACTGTAGTAGAATTTTTAAATATACATATAAAATACCACGGTTAATTAATTAATATTATTTCTTAATTTTAACTATTAATTGTAAAATTTTTTATAGAGATTTTATTGTTTGTTCTTATTAATTTAATATATTAATATACTCGTATTATTTTACGAATGTAAGAATTCAATTTTAATCATATTGTGAAAAACTGTATTATTTGATAAAAAAAAAAAAAAAAAAACGCCACATTAACATAGAATCACCCGTCACATGACATAGAATCGTAAGACGGTAACTAGAAAAAATAAAACCTTAACAATTTCAGCTATATAAATTTTAATTTTCGCTCATTTCAATCCCTTAAAATCAAAATTATTGAAAATCCTTTCTTATTGCATGACTAGACTATAATATAAAAATATGCTGAACATTTCAAGTTGCTAGCTATGATAGTATAGACTTAGCGTTGATTATGAATCAGTCAGTCAGAATTTCTTCTTTTATGTATATATTTAAATTTAACTATGATAATGAAATATAAAATATAACTAGGAAACGTATTTGGAACAACTTAGTCAAAAATTATTTTTAAATTATTTAAATGACATTCTAAAAAACCGTTAACTATAAATATAATTGTTTGGGCACCGTCGTGTTATTTTAGTTTTTATCACGGTGTACTTCGAACGTTCGCGAAGCTGATCGCGTTTTGGTGCCCTACCGCTAGCCGTCGGCTATCGCCACCGCAAAACGAGTCCACCACACACCTTCGCAGAGTACCGGTCGCGACTCGTAACCGTGCGTGTTGCGTGTGCATTGCGAGAGACGATCGCGGGTCGTGGTTCTCGTTGTTGCATCGTGTCGTCGGTCGCCGTTTGTGTGGGCGCCATTCTTTTTGTTCGAGTGTCGAGCTTTCCTCGGACGTCTACGGCCCCGTGTGGCTTTTTGCCGAACTTTCTGTTCGCGGGTGTAGTGGATCGTCGTGTGTGTGTCCTTACGTGGCTGTTTATGTTCGCGTATATAGTGGATCGCGCGGGTTGTTCGCCGATTTTGATTCGCCTCCGTCAGACCGTGGCAACGTGCTTTCTGCTTCATTAGCACCGCCGCACCAAGTCCTTACGTAATCGTGCTGTTTCGCGACGTCGACGGCCAGAAGGGCAATATAGTATGTAACGCGCCTTATCAACGTGGACCATTATCGTTGCGGCCGACCACAGGCGTCAGCTGTTCGTCACCACCGTCGTGCCAGATAAGATTGTCTATTTGTTTTCTTGTTTTGTGTATTATTGTTATCTGTACTACACGGCGGTCTGCGCGACCGTGAAAATCAATAATTATTCTTTTATATTTATTTGTTAGGTATGATCATACCGTTAATTATACTGTTAATCATACTGTTAATTATACTATTGTTTTTTTGAATAACGCAGTCTTTTCCGCCATCATCATCTGTCTTATTATTATTTTAACGAATAATTTAAGTATCGTTTCTAATCTCCCTTACAAGTACAAGATTCATTCTAGGAGGTGCACATTCGCAAGTGTCGCGCGGTCAGCTCTCGACATCGGCTCGATAGCTCCGCAACGGTGCGTCAACAATAATATATTCCCTCTCCCTCCCCTCGCGGATAAAAATTCAATAGTATCATCAGAAAATAGAAACATAAAAAGCCTGTTCATTTATGTATAAGGGATAATAAATGCACTAAAAGACCGGTCGATAAACATGCGTAAATAATTTTTACATGCACAACTTTTAGTCATTATAACCCTAACCGAGGCGAAAAACGAATTTAAAATATTTTATAACATTTAAATACTTGTTTAAATACGAAACAAAAATCCGGATGGTCACTAAGAATAATTATAATTGTGAATAATGATTTCCTATAAGTTCTTAAGAATGTGTTTGAGTGCGATATCCTGTAATTATTTAAAATTGTAAGGGCATGTGTAAATAATTAGTTGTTAAACGGGTCATTAAATATACAAAAATTATAATATTAGTTAAGTTCTAATAGTTTTAATTATTCTACTATTCTAAATAATACAGTTTTTTATGTTCATTCATACTCTGTTAAACATTTCAATGTTTAACCACTATATTTTAATCGAAACGATCAATGATGAAGACCCAAAAACAAGTCTTGAGTATACGCCGGGGGACTGTAAGTTGCGTCCCAATGCACCTTTTTGATGTAAATTGCGTGTCAAGTATTTTTTGGGTATATGTAAATTGCGTCCCGTGTATTTTTTGTGTATGTATAAATTGCGTCGCGGGTATTTTCATATTAAAATGTATATTACCAATTTACAACCAATATTTTCCTTCCCATTTTATCAGACTTAGATGGCTTATGTTATGTTTATTAAAAATTTCAATTTCAGTAAGTATTAATTTGACTAATTTTGCAACGAACTTACACGTTTTGCCTTTGCAACACCGTTTATAACGTTGAACATCATTTATTAAAAACTGTGAAAACGAAACTTATGACCAACAATCACTTTTAATGATTAATTTTTTTCACTTTGCATTGTACTATTTATTTCATTATTTATCACGTTAATTTTCAAAAATCTCCACGTGCACTCGTATAGAACGGTTATCGGTGAACTAATATGTATTCACCGTATACCTATATAATGTTACTACAGTAAAATTTAGCAGATAGACAACCGAATATATATTATTTTGATACGATTCGTTATTACCCAGCCATCAATAAAAACATTATAAATGTTAGTTTTACGGATTTTCTGTCGAACGCAATTAACGTACTCAGGGCCGGACTGGGTCAACAATTTCTACCGGGAAAATAAAAAAAATCGGCCCACTTAGATATACCTATAAAAACAACCTTAAAAACATATTTTTCCATATAAAATGATTGTATATTATTTTGAGAATTCAAACACTTAATATTATTATTAAAAATTAAAAAAATTAAAAATTAGTTAGTACAAAGAAATGTTATCATTTTTATTTAAAATACATATTATATTTAGACTCTAGAATAACTACACATTAAATATTAATTATACATATTAAGCAATTTGTTTAGGTTTGAGCTCTTTTGCGAAAGTGTGTCGATTATGATTTCATTATCTAACGCCATCAAAATATCAGATTCAGCTGACATAAGCATAAATGATTCTAAATGATCATGGCTCAATGAATTTCTTATTCTATTGAGAATATATTTCAATTTTGAAAACATTCTTTCACAAGCTACTTGTGCTGACGACAGTGATAGAATGAATTTGTATGCAAAAAATAGTGTCTTGTAAGCTTCGCTGTACAGATTATATTTCAGTAGTACTAAATAGCAACACAAAATACAATTTCGACACGCTTTAATTTTATTACATAATATTCACAATTTTTTTTCAATTTCTAAATTAGAATTGTTAGTGCTTTCTTTTAGTTCTAATTGCTGTTCCTCGTCAATAAAATTATCAAATTCGTACTCTTCATCAAGTGTTAATTTTAAGCGGTCCCATTTTGAAGAAAAGCCTTGTAGTTCATATAACAAGTTAGCTTTTGTTATACTCTCGTCGCGATTTACTAAATGCTCAACTAATTTTATAAATACTTCTTCGGGAATTTTTTCATTGAATCTGCTAGGTTGTAAAAAAGCACAATCGGCAGGAAATTTACTATTGCTAAAATATCTTATTTCCATACTATTGATTAGTGTAACAAATGTAACATTATACACTTCGACAACAAACTTTTGATAAGCACTAGGTGGTATATATTCTTTATCGGAATCTCCATCCATTATTTTACTTTTACGTATTTTTATTTCCGGAAAATTATCTTGAACTGTTATTTCAATATTTTCATGATCGAAATAATTATTAGCCCAATTTGAAAACTTTTTTGCTGCTTCATAAACTATAATGGAACTTCTTGAAAATTGCTTTAAACTTTCTAAAGTAGTTTCTACCATACGATGCGCTTGAAGAACATCCATATTCTGAGTTTGTAAATATTTAGATAGTGCAGAAGTATGAACAAAAATTTTAAGATACATATTAGCTGTGACAATTGTTTCAAATTTTGTAAAATTATCAAGAAGCGTCCTTGCATTGTATTTTATTTTAGAGTTGAGTGTATCCGATTGAGACATTTTATACAATGCAATTAAAAGGGTCAAAAATATTGAATTTTTTTCATTGGGGTCGTTAAAAGTACCAAAGATTTTTTTTAAAACATTATCTTTAGACCACCATCTAGTTTGAGCTATAACAGATATTGTTTTTATACGAGATTCTGAGAGTAAATCTTTTAAAATATTCATACGTGTGTAGGATTCTCAAAAAAAAACGGCACACGAGTTTAAAAGTCCAAATAAAGTAATTGAATAATGATTTTTTTCTGTTATGTCCATCATGACCAAATTTAAAACATGTGCGTAACATTAAGTATGTAGCTGAGTTCCAGCTTCTTCTTGTAACCAAGTATTAAAACTATTGTACTGACCTTGCATATTCGCCGCGCCGTCGGTAGCATTTCCAATACAATTTTTAATATTAATATTTGCCAATTTTAAATTTACACATACTTGATCACAAATCGATTTCCCAGTTGACGAAGAAACGCTAAATAATTTAATTAATCGTTCATGAACTTTGTCATTCACGTATCTGTAAAACATTTTTAAGTTCTAATTTAGTTACCATTAAAACATAAAATATGTAAATAATATTTTACTAAAATACGCACCTTATAATTACAGAACATTGGTCGGTAACGTTGATATCTTGTGTTGTATCGATCTGAATAGTAAAAAATTTAGCTTCATTGACCTCATCAGCAATTCGTGAAATAATTAATTCACGTATTGAATCAATTTTATAATTTAATGTGGTTTTTAAAAAAAAAGATATTAAGTCTCCTCGTCCACGGCTACTTCCAACTTTATCGAGTCTTTTTCTACTTAATTCAATAGTTTGATTTAAGTGGTTTTTCAAGGTCAAATCGTACTTAGACAATAACATTAATATTTCCAAAAAGTTTCCATGGTTTACATTTTCATTTTCAAGAGTATAAGTAGATTCAATTGATCCTCTAAAACTGAGACCTCTTTTTCCAATTAATTTTAAAATATCGATAATTCTATGTAGTACTGCACGTCTGACTAAAATTTGTTTTTTATGGAGATTAACACTTTTAGTACACAAAAGTGTTTTAATATCAACATTTTTACTTTGAATAATAAATGATTCAGCATCAGCAGAATGACTTTACTTTTTTCGTGTTCTTCTAGTTTTTGATGCAAATGTTTGAAATCAATTACTCCTTTACAAAAATTATTTTCAAGTTGACGATGAAATGCAAGGCATATTGAACAGAAAAATAATTGTTGTGATTTAGAGTAAGTAACCCATTTTCTGCATGTTTTGTCTTTTCTTTTGTACAATTTTTCTGAATTAAAATTTGTGATACTTATTTGAATAGGATGATACTTAAAAAATATTGTGATTTCTTCTTTTTTGGCGGCTTAAACCAATAGTCTTCACTTAAATCATTTTTTAATTTCATCATATCATCATTCATATTAGTTGTAATAGTATCTATTTTTTTATTTTCCAAGTTAGTGTCGTCTTCAAATAAATTGCAACTTATTTGTGGTTCTTTTGTTAAATTTTTTTCTACACAGACAATTTATTCAAAATCTAGTTGCTTTTTGGTAATTTCTTTTTGACATTGAGAAGACGATGTATTACATGTGGCCGGAGTACCTTCATCAATTTTTTTTTTTTAAAAAAGTCTTTTATTGATTTACAACTTGATGCCTGAGCTTCTAAAAGTTTTAATTTTTTTTCTCTGTTTTTTTCAGCGCCTCCTTTTCTTTTTTTTATATTATTGGTATCCATTTTATTATAAAACTTGAGAACAAATTCTGTTTTTTTTTTCAACAAAAACGATTCGTTACTCAATAAACACGACACTTCGATAAATGATAACTATTAATGATCACCGAACACATGCGCGAACAGTACTAATCTTCGTCGGAGCGATTGTCGCATATTTTAGGCGGCGCAGACGTGCGTTACGATAAGAAAGTGATAACCGATTAACGATCGGTTTTTGGCAATTTATACATTTGTTCATATCTATTTTGAGGAATTTCCTTAATATTTTATCGCACACCCATGTTCAAGGTTAGATTATATTCAATTCAATCGCATTAGAAAATGTGTCTATGTCTATTGACGAAATGTCTCAACCAATAAACTTAAAAAAAAAACGCACCTACAAGCACAAGCGGCCCAAATTAAACGAGCGGCCCACCGGGAAACTCCCGGTATCCCGCCTGCCCAGTCCGGCCCTGAACGTACTCGTATACATGACAGAAACACAGGCCGTAACTTACGTATGTTGTTATCGGAACCTTTTTTTTTTGGGACGCAACTTACATTTACCGTATACGCCAATTGTAAGTAAAAAGGATGAGTAGAGTTAATGCCTATTCCTCCCCCAATTTTACTTGTCTATAAGATTAATTAATAAAATAATGATCCGAATTTGAAATCAACAAAATTCAATTCAAGATTATTGTAGCGACTTGCAGCAATGTAACAGATTTTTAAATTATATTTTAGTGCAATAAAACTAAGAATATATGTATGAAATGTAAAAATAATAACCGTTCTAATCAATCGTGATGACAAGGAAATAAGTATGATTGGTATTTTTGATTTTTGTAGAAAAAAAAGGTCAACATTCATTAATACGGTGTAGCTAGTCATAAAGTTTATAGTATAGCTCAGGGATCACAAATTAATATTTTTGGAAACCCACACTGAGAATTTTGAAAATTTTCGAGAGCCATCAAAATTAAAATAAATATTTTTATCAAATAAACATGCAAAAAAATGTTTGGCAAATTATATATATTAAGTCTCATAATAACGTTTAATAATGAAAACATTAAAAAACAGCTATGTTTGGTAGTAAATCAAACAAATTGACAAGACCCCTGAGCGGTCCAATAAATAAAACAATATAATTCCGGCTACTCAAGCAAAAACTGTCTGTTTTCAAATTCAACTGTTCTTTTTTTCTTGTTCTTAAAAAAAAAAAAAAAATTCCTAATTTAAATTAAAATTAAGTAAGTAATAACAAATTACAATAGAAATTAAGACAACGGAGGTCGGCAGTTATTGACGATTGTATAAAATTATACAAATTTATATTACCAATTTATAAAAAGCGTGAATATAACCAGTCATGTAAAGAATTTATTTTGTTATTCTATTCCAGAAATAAACTTACCAATTATACAAGTTTATATTGTATTATTAGTTGATGAAAATAAGACACCGGAAGTGCACTTACAAATAAATATAAACGGGAACGAACTGGGAAACTCCCGATTTACCAACAAGTCTGTCTGCCTTTTTTTAATAAAATCTAAAACAACGAAAATTACATTATACACCAAATAAAATTATAAACGTATGTCGTATTTGGACTAAAGTAAATTTAAACATTACCAAAGCGGTAACCTTAATCTTGAATCTAATAATGTAAGTTGTAAAACATAAGCTTGATCCCAACATTCGTTATTCATGTTCTCATATAAAAACTCGTTTTCAGGGGAGCTAACGCTAAGACGCTTAAATCCGCTTCAGATTGTAAAATGGTGATATCGATAAGGTTTGGTCAGAATTGTTTTTTTTTAAACTGCACGAGTTTTTAAATTTTGTCCGACTGGCTGCTAATTGACTGGCTGATAATTTAATAAATTATCCGATAAGCCATCTGAGCATCCATTTTACATTAAATACAATATAAAACGTTAAGTACATAATTATGTGCCGGAATCTGAAATCGTATCACAGTTAGCTGTCTTGTTGCAACTGCTTATGTGACAGCGATTGTTATGTGGTCGAATTGTTAAAAATTAAAGTTGATTTTTGTGACACATTTAATTTGTAAATACGAGTTAACCTTAACAAAACGAAACATATAAAACTTTATCTCAGGGCAGCTTATTTATGACTATAAAAATTGCTAACCATTTTATACACAGTGTTACGTGGTACCCAATAAAAACAGGTACCTATCGTAATGATGTTGATGGATCAGGGTAAATTGATTCAATAATTAATTTAAACACTTGTAAACACTTTAATAAATACAGATACAAATACAGATACAGACACAGATACAAATATAAATTATAAATTCTCGAGCTAACAATATCGAAGACGAAACTCAGAAGGGCTTGGTCTGATAGCTGGACACGTCTGCCGTTGGTGGTGAAACGGAGCCTTTATATACTCTGTTGATTCTGTTTTAATTGTGTTGTTTTCGACACGTGGCTGTCCTTGGTCTTGATCTTCATATCCAAATGATGTTTCATCACGTGGTTGCCCTTGGCCTTGATTGTCTTATTCGAATGATGATGTTGTTTGTGGTTGTTTGTAATTCGCGCGTGGCGCCCATTAAAGTTTATGTGTGCAATAGTTATTCTTGGTACGTTTTTCCTTATACGACTCAGGAATATGCGTATTATTATTTCTTAATAATATATGCATATTACAACAGTCGACGTCCGCTTCACGAAATTTACACTCATTTTTAATGAACTAATTATATTTCGAGCAATAAGCATTTATTAAAAATATACAGCTATACATATAAGCGGTACTAGACCATCTTGGAAGGGAGGAGGACAGGAAATACTATAAGTAAAATGTTAATACTATTTTGTCCAAATCTTTCAACTAGCAACGCTATAAAAAAAAAGTTTTTTATTGATAGCTATTTTAACTTATTTTTAACATATTTAAAATAAGATTATTTTGTAAAATAAATTAATAATACAATTAAAAATCACTACATTTATATTATTTTATCTTATACATTTAAATAATAACTTACCACAATTCACCTGTGATGGTTTTTGTATAAAAAAGTTAAATAAAGTTTTAATTTTTTTACCATGGTTAGTGTTCATAATTAGCATTATCCAAAAAACTCAAGAATAGTAAATAAAATGTACACTTCACATCAAAATATAAAATCATAAAAAACGTTTGTGATACAGATAATAATAAAGTAATAATATTGGTTCATGATTTGTCAATTGATAAAAATAAATTATGATAATATTGAAAATGCTGGCGCAAATAATCTTAGAATGTTTATATGACTGGCTTCCACGGTTATAGATAATAATATTATTATATTAATATATTATTTACAACTGTGCAGACTACAAATAAGCATGTAGTATGAGGGGTTACCAACCAATATTTTAAATGTAAAAAGAGAGTAAGAATTCACAGGGGAGCAGTCCCCACATAGCACTGCCTATGGCTATACAGTTATACAATAAGGTCTATAATATTTTTACAGTTCATCTGTGAAAATTATCTTTGATTATTCTATGATTAACTGTACATACGTATCTGAAATTAATTATACTTTATATATTAAGCAGTTCCCTCAAAAATCAAATATGAAACATATTGATTTTTTCTCGAGTTTTAATAAACGAATTGTCAACACCACAAAAGTAACAGTTTTTATTTTTTATTTTTATGTGTCGGTCACCGCCGTCGACGGTAACGCGCGTACCACCACTATCACCACCACCACAACAACCACTACTACCTTCACCACCACCAACTCACGTACTGTGTAACGTTATCGAACACCTGTAGTCGTCTACGGTGCGCAGAATAACCGAAATTAACTTCATCGGTTCAATTGCCTGATTCCAATAACTCTTTGTACTTGTTACCCGGTTACAGCCGCCCAGTGTTGAAAATTAGGTACTCCAGTAATAGTATTTAAATAAAAGTATTCAAATAATTTTCATGTACTCTAATTAGTATTTTAAATGGTTTTGAAAAAAATACTTGGACATAACATTTTAAAGTACTTTCCCAGGGTATCTGTATTTAAAATGAAATGCTATTTTCAAATAGTTATTTTACAAATCTTATTTCAGTTCTAATTCATTAAATTAAAATAATACATTTATTTACCGATTATATATTTATTTCATATTAATAAGATTTATTAACCATTTATCCGTGCTGTATTAATAAAATCAATATTTATATATGGCATAATATAAAAATTTAGTGTACGGACAAATTCTAAAAACCAGAACCTGAGAACCCTATTATATACTAACGGTCCACAACATTATACACTATTATGACTGTAATATAATATACTATATTACTAACTATATTACCCATAAAAATTAAGGATTTTATAACAAAATTGGAAATTCGTTTTAATTCGGAAATAGCCTATTGGAACTCCAAAATATTTTATTCCTTGCAACCATGTAAGACGTGAATATATTTTTAATATTTTTTTACATTACAATATATTTACATATTATACATACACATATAAATTATACTATAAGGTAAACAATGTTGTACATTTTTTTTTTTAGGTAAATTAAAATATCTATGAATACTTTTTTGAAGTATCTGTTACTCGTACTTGAACACATATTTTATCAAGTATTCAAACGCGTATTTTACTTTTAAAAACCGGTACCTATATCTGTGTTTGAACACTTTTAAAAAGTATCTTTTATAAGACTGCAGTCACCGCACGCTTTCCGTGAACTGTTCCAACAGTTGTCGTCGGGCTACCGCTCATTAATTATTACTCTCCCTTTATATACCATTAAACTTAGCGACATTTTTCGAACCTAATCCTCACAGTTCCTACGGATTCATTTCGTTTAAGTCATTTTTAAAAGGTACACGTTATTACCGTCACGTTCTTCACCGCTACAGCGGGCGCTACATAGGTACGTCACACAGAAACCGAAACGTCATGTCATAACTAACATTGTAGTTCACAATAGTTGATTTGATAATATTGTTCGTACGTTCACGAGATGTTTCATTAAAAAAATGTCCAGTAGTTCGGAGGAAGCAGAATGTTCATTTTTACGTGAAAAAGTAAGTCATTTGAAGAAGTCCGAATTCGGGTTCGTGAAATAAAAAATTAAAAAAAGAGACAATTATAGTGAATAACACCGTTTATGTCGTGAACCCAGGCCCGTACTTAAAAATGTGTAATAAAATAACTCCGAGCATATAATGTATGCCCCTTCCCCCCAAAATAAATAATAATAATATAACACTTATTATTTCGTCCATAATCGAGGTTTTTTAATATTAAAATATAACTTATAAATGAAAATCGTACAACATAATAAAACATATAATTTCCTTTTTTTTTAATTAACAAATTATAATATAATAAAAATACATTTTTTTTTTTTTAGTTTATAAATCATAACATAATAAAACATACTATTATCTTTTTTTATTGTTTTATTTTTTTTTCATTAGGTACATAATTTTTAAAATTAATTTTGCTAAAATATTTTGCCACCCCTGAAACTTGACGCCCCCGAGCATGTGCCTACCCGTGCCCTCTCCCCTAAATACGTGTCTGGGTGAACCGAAGTCACATGAAGACCGTTCTTATTCATACTTATTACGGATGCCTCGGGACTGTTTTTTAAAAACTGCATGAACTGCTTTTACCAAAGAAAAAATAACTACTAGCTGGAGGAAATCCATGTCCGCAAGATAAAGACTTATCTTAGTGCCAAAAATAACGCACTATCGCAGGTGATTTTGTGATTTTGTACAACTTGCGTTTTAGCGCCACGTTAAGAGGTCACCACACCAGCATATGTTGTCTCTGTCCGATACACGTACAGCATAGCAAGTTTGCGTTCAATAATTCAAATTTAGTGATTTTATCTATATTATTAAACCGACTATTATATTACTTTAAGGGAAGAACATTATCTGTGCTCTGTTAGCGGGTTTTTTCCGATATGTTAATTTTCGAGCTATGAGTTCTTTTTAACTGTAATATTTTACATGCACATAACTAGCTTAGAAATAAACATGTCATAAAAAACCGATCAACTAAACATAGATAATGTTCATCACTTAAAGTTTGATCACGAGTCAGTTTATTTTAATATTAAAACTAACGAACTACATTTCAACAACTGAACACAGATTTGCTATTTTGTACGTATGTCAGGCGAAGACAATACATGCGGATGTGGCGTACTCTTAATCAAGCTGACGAACCGTTTTTGACAACCTATATGATTTGTAATTGAATACATCGCTTTCACAAGTTTGAATAATACGTTTTTGTTTGTCAAAGGAGTCGTTGCGCATTGCGGTGTTAGCTGACTTGTCTTTACTTACCGCAGTTACTTTGAACTTTAATATATTAATGAGAATAATATTGAAGAATTCATCGCTTAAGTAAACACGTAAGCTATTACTAAAGGACATAAAAAAATATTTTTACTTCAACCAAAACATCGTGAAACCTGTTAAAAAAGTTGACAAGTTTACCAATAGTAATTTTATACAGTTTTGAAATGTCGAAACGGAAAAAATAATAATTACCTATCAATAATACAATAATTACCATGATTTCAGACCTTGGATTTAGAAGTCACTCAAATCGAAATTTATGAATATACTAGCTATTGGCAAGATACTTTGAATTATTCAATATCAAATGGAAACTGTTTTATTGGTGATAAACAAGATATAATAGTCTACATATTACAGTATAAAAAAGTCTTAATAATGGAAAAATTATTAAAATGACTACTTGAAAAACTTAATGTAATCCTGTCTCTTTATAAACTTATTAATTGGGTATACCAATTTATATATATGTATATTTTAAATATAACTTGCAGATTTCTGAGAATCAAGCTTTCATCAAACTCCAAGTTAATCAAATTACAATGTTTAATTTCAAAATATTTTCAAACTGCTCAATATTTAACATAAATATAATTTTTATATTCAATCAAATTTTTTGGAATTACCTGATTTTCCATTATTTTTTTTAGGCTTTAATTACTTAACCAAATTTTACGTTTAGAACATAAACATTTTTTGAGTATTTAGTTGAATGTATTCTTATTTAAATTTTTTTTATTAATATCATTTGATTATGTACTTCACTCATAGAATTGTAAAATTGAATTCAACGTATTTTTTTGATTACAAAAAATTTTGTTTTTGTTTTATATTTATTAAATAATAATTGTTTAAATTTTTTTAAGATGAAAATATTTTAATAATTCTAACTAAAATTCTTATTTTGACATAGTTATTAAATAATTTGCTATTACTATATTTTATTTTAAATAAGTAGTTAGTAAATTCGTATTTAGTGCCAAGTAATATAAATGTTTTTATATCATTATCATGATTTGATTAGTTAATTTTATTCACTGCATTTTCCTGGTAATACACTTATTATTATATTTACGAATATATTATTAATATTATTATTATTATTATTATTATTATTATTATTATTATTATTTTTATATTATAAATCAGTTCCATCGTGTGTTGTAATTAAATTTCTAAAAATAAACGTTATTTTTTTAAAATTATAAACCAGGAATTGACGCTTTTTAATTCTTGTATACAATTTTATCTTTTAGTATTATGCAATTTTTACTGACCATCTAGTACAGGCACCGGCAACCCGCGGCCCTCGGAACTTTTTGCTGCGGCCCTCCAAATATAATTCATGGTGTTTAAAATTTTAATTTTGTAGCTTAAATTGTTATAAAATATATAAATAATATTTAATCAATGCGAGATATATTATGATCGAAAACGTAATCTAATCTTATGTAATGTATATATCGTCGATTACGACAAATACGTATTGGTTATGGCCTTAGTGACTTAGTGCAGTTCGTTTCGAAACATTCAAATGTGAAGTTTAAATTTCAACTGTTTCATAATAACCTATCAATTCAATGTCAAAAAAACGTAAAATTAGTGATGAGCATCGTACATTCAACGAATCATGGACGGATTTGTATTTTTTTATCGAACATAAAGGTAAACTATTATGTTTAATTTGCAAAAAATCCATTTTAACTGTAAAAGAATATAATGTTACATGTCACTATGAAACAGAGCATAAATTAAAATTTGATACTCTCACTGGTGATCTTAGACAGATTAAAATAAACAATTTTAAAAGTTCATTAACTAATCAACAAAATAGTTTTAAATTACAACATAATCAAAACGAATCAGGAGTACGATCTAGTTTCGTAGTTGCTGAAATGATAGCGTAATCGTCCATTCAACGACTCTGAGTTTATAAAAAAATGTATGTTAGCCGTTGTAAATGAAATATGCCCTGAGAAAAAAAAACAATTTGAAGACATCAGTCTCTCAGCTAGGACCTGTGTTAGACGTACCGAAGAGTTAGGAACAAATTTAATATTCAAACTGAAAGAAAAAGTTTCTAAATTTGATTGTTTTTCTATCGCAACTGACGAAAGTACTGATGTTTGTGATACTGCTCAGTTATTAATATTTATTCGATGAATTGATTTTAATTTCAATATTTCTGAAGAATTAGCTGAATTATGTAGTTTGAAGGGAACTTACAACGGGAGAAGACTTATTTATCGAAATTGACAAAACATTTAAAAAACTTGGATTAAGTTGAAACAAACTAGTTAGTGTTACTACAGACGGTGGTAGAAATATGAGTGGAATTAATAAAGGATCAATTGGGAGAATAAATGCGAAAATGGTGGAAGAAAGACATGAAGCACCTATGATATTTCATTGCATCATACATCAAGAGGCATTATGTTGCAAAGTTTTAGCATGGAAAGATGTAATGAATATTGTAGTATCGACGGTTAACTACATACGCAAAAATGCTTTGGCACATCGTCAATTCAAAATATTTTTGGAAGAATGCGATGCTGAATATGGGGATGTAATATATTTTTCCGAAGTAAGGTGGTTGAGTAGAGGTGCGGTTTTGAAACGGTTTTTTATTTTACGAAATGAAATTAATATTTTTATGTCAGAAAAAGGTAAAATTGTACCAGAATTATCAAATGAAAAGTGGGTTCTTAATCTGGCATTTTTAACTGATATAACAACTTTATTAAATGAGCTGAATACAAAACTACAAGGTAAAGACAAATTGTTGTCAGATATGTATTCAAATATAAAATCATTTCAAGTGAAATTAAAATTATTACACAAACATATTAATGAACAGCACTTGGATCATTTCTTATGCTGTAAAACTGTATTAGAATCAACCAAATCAACTTTAAATTGGGAAACTACAAAAGTTAATTTTTTAAATATAATTGAAAACTTACAAAATGAATTTTCAATACGATTTTCTGATTTTTACGTACAAGAGAATAAAATCAAATTGTTTTAAAACCCTTTTTCTGTCGACATTGACAATGTTGAATCTAATTTACAGATGGAAGTCATAGAATTGCAAAACAACGATATTCTTAAAAATGCTTTTAAAGAAAGTAATGACCTAAAAATATTTTATTCAAGTCTTTCTGAAATAGATTTTAAAGGCATTAAAAGTTTTGCTAAAAAAATGATTACTGCTTTTGGTAGCACATATATTTGTGAGCAGACATTCTCAATACTTAAATTCCGAAAAAATAAATATTGTTCACGGTTAAGCGATGAACACTTGAATGCTGTTTTAAGGATATCAACATCCAATTTAAAAGCGGATATAAATGAATTGGCGGGAAAAATTCAACCTCAAAAATCACACTAGTAACTTAATATTTGTATACTAAATTGCATTCAAGAATTAATTAATAATTATTTTTAAACTTTTAAATTGTCTCTACTAATGTATTTAATTAAAAATTAGTTAATAAGCACAACTGCAATGTTAAATTCATAATATGTTTGTTGCTATCTGTAAATAACATATATTAGTATTATTTGTTAAAATTATATTTTTTAATATTTTAATTTTGTATGTGGCCCTCCATTAAAAACTGAAACAAATTATGGCCCGTGTAGGTAAAAAGGTTTCCGACCCCTGATCTAGTACATACATTTCTTAATTGGTCTTCATTATAGAAGTTTTATAAAATAACATTTTTGTATTTGTAATATTAATTCATTCGTTAATATTAAATGTATAATGTATTCACAAAAATTAATTAGATAATAAGTTATATTTTATTTTTTTTATAGATAACGCCCACGAGGGCAAAGAGTACAGTAGATACATAATACATAGAAATAATATACAAAATAAAAGTTAATGGGTACCTAATAATTTTTCAACTTACAACTATTGTCGTAAAAAAATTAAAGTTAGATAAGTGTTCATTAGTATGATGTAAAATTATGTTGATGGGACTATGAATAACAAAATTACGTTCCACTGATGCAATATGAAATAGGGCTTTATTTCTAGTGTTTACTGGAGAGACTCTAATTCCAATAAAAATTGAGACCTCTGGACAATTAATGAATCCATTTAATAGCTTATATAAAAATAAGCAATCGTTATAGTTACGTCTATTAGTTAAAGGGGGTTTTTACATTATTTCTTGACAATAGCAATAGGTTAGTTCATGTACATTTGGTTTAAAAGCGATCATTCTGATAAAATTCCTCTAGATTTTTTCTGTTTTATCTATTAGACAAACCAGTTTGACGGGGACTCCAAAAAAAAGTGAACCAAACTTTAAAACAGGGCGTACCAATGCAGAGTACAAGACTTTTAGACATGAAAAACTCATATCAGAATAGTTTCGCTTAATAAATCCTAAAATTATAAAGGCTTTTATACGAATAATTTCTAATTTATGTTTAAGGTGATAAAGTTACACCAAGATGTCTTACCTCGTTCACAACGTTGATTTTCGAACCAGAAAGATTATAATGGTAGATTATATTTGAGCATTTTCGGTGGAATAATATTTTCATACACTTATTCAAATTTAAAAGTGACCCATTATCTAAGCACCATTTAGAAAAACGATCAAGATCTTGTTGCAGTTTTAAACAATCATTTATGTGGTTAACTGTAAAATATATTTTTATATCGTCTGCAAATAACAAGAACTGACTATGTTTAAATACTGTATAAATATCATTAATAAATATTAAAAATCAGAAAGGGGATAAGTGACCTCTTTGAATAACTCTAGATGAAACTTGCAGTGGGTTTGACTTTGTATTGGATATTTTAATTATTTGAGTGTGATCGGATAGATATGAAGACAACCAGGATAGAATGCTACCACATAATCCTATATTATTAAGCTTTCGAATTAGAATTCGGTGGTCAACTGAATCGAACGCTTTTTTCATATCTACATAAATAGCATCAATTTGACTACCATTAGATATAATATTTGTGAAATAAAATTAAAAGATGACGAGATTAATATCAATGGATTTAAATTTTTAAAACCACGTTGATTATCTATAAAAATATGTTTAATGTTTAATGGATAGATAATTTTTGTTCTAATAGTTTTTCGAGGAGTTTTTGTAGTGAACTTAACTTGGCGACTGGATGATAATTAGAAATGTCAGCTTTACTTCCTGATTTCCAAATTGGGGTGATAACGCTTTGTTTCCATATCTGTGGGAATATACCTGATTTTAATAATAGTGTAAATAATTTGTGAATAGGAATTGTTAATGCATAGTGACATTTATTTAAAAATAATGAAGGAATGTTATCCAGGCCAGGTACATAATCAGTACTTAAACTAGACAAACTATCAAAAATTTCACTAATAGATAAGTTACAATCGAAAATATTCATTTGATTGTTTTCATGAACGACTGTTCATAGTATTACGTGTTGAGGAGAGGAGTATGAAGAAGAGAAGTAATCTGTAAACATATTCGAAATTGTGATAGGGTTGTTAGAATTAGTAGTACCATTTTTCATAAGATCAGGCGAGCCGTCGCATTGTTTTAACTTTTTTATATGGCGCCAAAAACTTTTTGGATTATTTATTAAATTTTTTTCAGGTTAGCAATAACAGGGCAATATAGGAACCGTAATTTAGTTTAGACAGCATTTTTCATTGGGCTCTTATATTAGAAAAATATTATAATCATTTTGGGTTTTAAATATTTTATAAGTTATATGAGCTTGATTTTTCTGTTTAATTAAATCTTTGAGTTGTTTGATAAACTACGGGGGAAATTTTTGCTTAAACAAAAGGATTTTAGAAACAGACCTGTAATTAATAGGGAACGGATTTATATGTAAATACATATTTTTATTAAAACGAGATATTTAAGATTCGATAAGAAATGTTCATGATTTAAATCATTCCTATTAATATAATGCTACTTTTATTTTACATATTTTTACATTATTCTTACAACATTAATTTGTGTTTTATTTAGTAACGCTTTAAGAGTAGTAATGGTTTTGATGTAATGACGGACCTGTATTACGATTTCAAAAGAATCAACACAGGAATACAAGTCGTTATTAATACCAGAAAGTTACATTACCGAACGGAGTGAATTACTGTTGCCAAATAAAATTCTGACTTACCAATTTGTCTGCTTTCCAGGTAAAAACTTCTGAATATTTGAAATTACGTCCACGGAATTAACACGTTCAATACCGTTGCCGTATTACTATTTGTTTGTAATACCACACGAAAATTCCGCCGCAATAAGGTATGACAATGACGTGTTGTCGCCGGCCATGTAGGCAACATTCTACTGTTATACTATTATTTTTATTTTTTCAGAGAAATGTAAATCCACAAATTTAACGAAATGTAATACAATGAACAAGATTCACAGTTCACAGTGTGTCAGAAAAGTTCCCGAATTTTCTCGCCAGCGTCTATACAAGTGAAGCAATCTATCAAACAAAGCTGGTTCCATGTAGCTACATTTATCAGTAGTATATATACAAAATGTTGTTACTTTCCGTTCAGTATTTAACGAGTTAAGACGTATTGAGGAACGCGTATTGGTGTCTTAAGTGCAAATCGCGAAATGGAGGAAAAATTCGAACACAATTCCGCAGTTCAATTTTGTGTTAGACTCAAAAAAAGTTACGAAAACACAAAAAATGATTGACACTGCTTTTGGTGAAGGTATAGAATCAATTCACCCGGACTTAGCCATGCGAAGAACTGACGTTTCGTCAAAGGGTCGTATTGAAAGCACCAACTCTCGTCACCGGTAACAATAATTAATGTGGGGCTGACCTAATAATATTGCATTTTTTAGGCTAAAATATTTTATATACACTTAAGAGCTATTGAGATTTTTAATTTAGAATTAAATATTCTAAAAAAAATTGTAATGCTTATTTTTACAAAAATTATTATTTAATATTTAAATAAGAGAAGAAATCATTTTTTCTCTAGTTGTAAATTAATATTGCATGTTCCACATGTTAAAAAAATATGGCAAAATTACTATGGGTACTTTGAAGTACCAATTAAAAAAATGTCTAGATGACCAATGGTATTTCCAAGTACCAGGGTCCTAACTCAAATTTGAGTAAGAAAACAAAAAAAAAAACGAAAAAAAAATAGTCTTATATAAGTAAAATATAACGTGTTTATGCAAAAAAAAAAATTAAAAAATATATCTAAATTCGATGCTTAGTCAATAAATGGTTAAATATATCTGAAGAAGATAACAATATAAAATTAAATAAAATTAACTATGAAATTGATAAGATTATGCGTTGTTAAAAATGAATAATAATAATGCTGAATATAATTCCAATAAAATAAGTCGAATAAATAAAATAAATAATGTCATACGTACGGAACACATGAATGAAGAAGAAAAACAATCAATAATTGAAATTTTTAAACAATATTCCCAAATATTTCACTAAGAAGGGGATCGCTTAATTTTTATAAATGCCCCGGAGTTTGACATTAAATTAAAAGATAATCACACATCAATTTATAAAAAACAATATAGATTACCTTATTCGCAACAAGATGAAATAAAATCACAAATTTGGAAAATGGTAGATGACGATATCATAGAATAATCTATGAGTCCGTGGAATGCGCCTTTATTATTAGTAAAGAAGAAATCAGACACGAGTGGTAAACCAAAATTCAGAGTAGTTATAGCTTTTAGAGCATTAAATGAAGTAAGTTTAAATTAATTTCATCCACTACCTAAGATAACAGAAATATTAGATCAATTAGGACAATATCAATTATTTAATGTAATTAATTTAGCATCAGGATTTTATCAAATTCCGTTATCAGAATCATCTCGGTAATCGTATTCATAGTAACTATAGAATAGCATTTTCTGATAGTGCTCAGACACAGTCGACACGCTCTGTACGCACACTTGTAAATAGGTACATAATTTATTAGTAAGTAATAAATTAGTAATAGATTTTAATAATTATATATTATATATATTATATTTCATATATTTCAACTTAATAATAACGAATACAGTAACACTTATTCAACACTATATATGCAGCTACAATACTTATTCAAATTATAGCTGCATAGGACTAAAGAATTATTGATTATGATTATTCATAGGTTATACAAACAGTAATACTAACGACATAATTTATAAGTTTTGGACAGCTTTCGCTATACAATGAACATGTTTCAAATAAATAATGTAAACTCAGAAAAAAATTCAAAATATATTAAATAACAGAGCTTGCGCTAATAGGTAGTTCTAAATTAAAATTGGCAATTCTAAAAACCAATTTGGTCAGTACCAAAAATCGTGAATTTCAGTATTATTGGAATATGTAATATTGTT